GAGGAGCCTGTGCAGATAGCAGTGTGCAGATGTGCATTAAGGAAGAAAAAGTTGACAGGCAGGGAGAAATTCAGGTATCCAACCCCACAATGGAAGGAAAAACACCTGTCCTGCAGAACAGGGAAGCTGCTAGTGAAGTACACCAAGGGCAGGGATTTTTAACCAAAACCTGTGCAAAATTTACTGACCTACCTGCAGGGGACTGCCCAGGTTCCCTCTTGGAAAAAAAGATTTCAAATATGTAAGTACTTTTTTTTTTTTTTTTACAGTAGCGGTCTTTTTATAAAATAACTGTGATTGTAATTACCTTGATAAAGCTTGAGAGAGGAAAGGAGAGGCAGTGGGAGATGCTGATACCTGTATATCATACACACACTAATGTGAAAATAATTCTATTTAACAGGGATATCACATATAGACATTCGTAGCTTTTGTAGAATTTTGTAAATTATTTAAAGTGCTCTAAGGAAATATTTTTTATAATGATTTCTAGGGCTTGCATTCCTACAGGATGCTGTAGTTACTGTAGATAAGATATTGGCTAATCACACTTTAAATTATGAGGCCTCTAATTGTCTCTCAAAGGGAAACCTGTTTGCGCACAGAATTTATTTGGGAGCCTGTTCAGAGATCCTAGGAAAGCACAGCCCTGGATAGCAATGCAGATGTGACACTGGCCACATCCCAGCTGCCTCAGGACAATCCTGTGGGGTGGGTTTTGCTGGAGCTCGGTTTTCCCACCCTGAGGACTGTGGGATGAGGTCCCTGAGCAGAACTCAGCTGTGGGTGTGGAGATCCGGCCTGGAAGATACAAATGCAAATTCAGGTAAATCAAGTGGATGGCTCTGTCTGCACCTCCTGTGCAAAGGGATCTCAGCAGCTGCTCAAAGTCCTTCCACATGCCCAGAACCTCCTGCTAGCAGATGATTCCAAGCACACTTGCAGTCCAAGACAAGTGAAGGAAGGAGTGTGTCTATTCAGACACGATTTCCCTGGATTTCCCTGGATTTCTGTACTGTCGGGCCTGCAGGGCTCAAACAATTCCTGCTATTCTCAGCTCTCTCCTTTTGATGCCCTGCAGTTACCCAGAGATGGCTTTTGGTTTCCTGAATGAACTTTCTGGAACTGAGTGCCCTTAACTTTCCTTTTTCAGAAGTGGTTTTTAAAATGTTACATTTCTGTGAACTTTTCACTGACAATTTTGGTGCAATAAAGCAAAGCTGGGTTTGCTGTAGGAAGTCACAACACAAACGGATTTTTTCAGCCACGGATATTTTCAGCACTGTTCTTTCTTCAGGCTCTTTCTCTGCCTCCGTTTCCAGCAGCCAGAATAAAGCAATTTTTTCACTACTATCTTTTTATTTGTACTGACTTTCAACGGGATTGAAGTAGCACATTCACATCACACACACAAAAAAGTGCCCCCACACTGGTTTCGCTGCGAATTCAAAAGGTGTAAATTGGAGCTGTTGGCTCTTTCATTCTCATTTTTGTGTTGTGAAGTCCTTGGAGGAGTTTGTTCTCACATCTTGTCCCTGTGAATTGATCTGATATTCTCTTTGTCTGCTCTTCTGCAGAACTTCTCAGCCAAACCACCACTTAGCATCACTTTGTTTCTCAGTCACTTCAGGAGTCTTCCTCCAGGCTGGCCTTAAACTTGCAAAACGGAGCAAAAGCAGCCGAGACTGGATCCAGAATCCCGTGGTGTCCCTGGTGTGATGCAGAACGTGGGCAAAATACGGTGTAGCATAGAGTAGTGACTGTGGCATGTAGAGAAATAAACATCCTTGGTGTGTTCATGCTGTCGTGCAGCTACGTTTGAAACATGTTCCTAGTGCTCACTTGGCATTTCTGACTGTCCAGCCACCTTTCTGTAGCCCTGGGGTTGGTTGGCCAGGTTGTTTAAAGGTCAGTGTGTAAACTCATCTCCATTTTGTGGTAGGATACCTTGGAAAAGTGGTTTTTCCTTAGCTCAGTGCCTGCACTCCCTCTTCACAGGTTTATCTTTTGCTCTGCCTTGATTCCGTTGCAGGATTTGAGCCTTTTGTTTGGAATAGGTCAATAGGCTGGTATTTTAAACTAGAAGTTTTCCAAGTACCTTGCTTTAAAAGGATTAAACTGTATACTTAATTTTCCTAGAGATGTTGGAAGCACTCTGTACTGTTTGTATAAAAAGCTGAATGTTTCTTCTCAAGAGTTTTCAGTAAATCCACATTAAGACTTCAAAGGTGTCTCGTGCCCCTGTTGCTGTGTCTGTGTCCTCAGTACCTGATCCACTCCCAGTTAAAATGCAATTCCAGTTACCTTGTGCTTTAAATAAAACCTTATTTCAAACAGCACTTTTTTATTTTAATTAAACTTGATTTGTATATAGGAACTGGTGTACATTGCTGAGTTTCTAATGTTTAATAAATGGGGTTCTTCCATGGACCGTGCAACTGGAGTGTTCCTATGGTTTGTGTCATCATCTTGAGTGAGTAATAATTTCTGTGTTTCCCCTTCTTCCCTCCCGACTGAGGATGTCATTAATTCTTTGTAACAAAAAATGAAGGAGGAGAATTTACAAAATACAAAGGGGTGGCTTTTGGGAGGTGAGAATGGTGCTTGTGGTAGCAGAACACCAAGAGATTTCTTTCCTGGTGTTTGTGGTCAAGAGGTGGAATCTTTATTTGTGTAATTAAATGTCAAGGAGCACCTCTGGAATTGAGCAGCCAGGCTCCAGTGGCAGTGTCCTGATCCTGGCCCAGGTCTCATCATTGTTCAGAAAAGAGAGGTCTGGTGGTTTGCAGCAAGAAGAAACCCCTCTCACACATCACTAAAGCTGAGCAATAAAACAGATTATCTTGAGTGGCAGTAAATTCCCACACGTGGTACCAAGATTGGATCTGCAGCACGAATCTCTCAAGGCTGAATCTTCATAAAGCAGTTCCAAAAGCAGATTTTATTTCCTGTTCATAGTGCCCCTGAGAAGCCCAGGGAGGGCACAGAGTGGGCACAGACTGCTACTCCAGTGCCAGCTCTGGGGAGTGTCCAGAAAACTCCTTTTTCCCATTACTCCCACCCTCCTGAGACACCAATTAATTATAATTATTGCAGTAGATACATGGAGCCATAAACCCAGCTCTTCTAAAGCTTATTAAGTTACCTTTTTCTTAATGAGTGCTGGTTCATATTTAAAAAATGCACAATGCTAGTTTTTCTTTCCAGTCAGAGCACAAAGCTTTTGTTAATTTAGATACTAAGTGCTTAAACCACTTGTTTGTTTGTTTTTTTTTTTTTTATTATGGCTCTGGTGAGTTACAGATCCTGGCTGCACAATTACTGCTTTATTTTTTACCCCAGTGACTGCTTTTGGGTGCTTTGGGAACAATCTTCAAGGATCCTCAAGGGACAGCAAGGACTCTGTTCATATTTTTATTCCCAGTTCTTTGCTGCTATTTTAGGAACACGTGTTTTGACATGTAGCTGCTCTTTATACAAGGCAGGAAGATCCCTGCCCCCATTTCTTTTATTAATGTAGAAGCTTTTAAATTGTTCATCCCTTCAGTTGGTGATAGTTCAGCCTCACATAATTTTATCTGCAAATGTGAAAATCTTCCTCTCAAAAGACAGAGCAGAAAGAGATTGATTCAGGTAGATCCATTTTTAGAATGATATTTTGAATTTGTACAGGTATTTTTTTTAAAAAGTGCATTTGGTCTAACCTCTGAACACTTGGATACACTGCATGCCAAACTCTTCAAAGGAACTGGTTTCAAGAATAAAACTAAAAGGGAAGAAATTGAGGCAAGAAAGAAGACGTGGGTGTTTTCAGATGGAGTGGGAAAATATGTGACAGAATCCACTCTTAATATTTTTAAGAGGCAGCCTTATCCCTAAATTATGCCACCTGCAGAAAAATCTGTGGATAAAAATATATATAACATTGTCACAACTATTTCTATTGATGCAGCACTTTGTTATTTTCTCATTTCAGGAGAAGAAAGGGAAGTTCTAAAGAAGCTCCAGGTATTGTCTAGAGTCTGATACGAGGATCGCAGCAAATGGAAGAGGGTTGCTTATTTATTTTCAGATGTTAAATCTTTGAAATGTTAACTTTTCAGGCCCATTTCTGCTCAGTTTATTTACCTGTTCCAATTTATTATTTTTGGTGTGTTTGCAGCAGAGGGGGATCTATGCAGCTCTTACCACATGCCACAAACAGGGAATGTTTCTGACATGTGAAGAGCATCGATTGCAGTGGTGTTTGGACATGTTACACTCATTATTTATATTTTTTTAGCAAACAGTTTGAATAATGTTATGCTCATTTTTAATGTTCTGTTACACCTGTAAGGTGGGACTGTTGCTCATCCATAAACAGGCAGAGTAGTTTCTCTTAAAAACTCCATTTTAAACCAAAAATATTCAGGTATTCTTTCAGTGCAGTCACTGTCCAGCTGATGCAGTTTCTTTGCCTGTACCTACAGTTGTTCCAATAAAACTTTTTAAATAATCTTCTTTTTGATTACTTGTAATTACTTGAATAATTTCTTAAAACTTTGTAGTTTGGAGAGAGAAGAAATGCGAACTTGCTACAAGAAATCCAAAGAGTTAATGAATACCTCTGGAAAACCTGCAGATTGATTATTCATTAAATAGTAGAGAAGCAGTTGAAATCTTAATTTTTAATGATAAGTAGTACATAAGGCAAGAGTGTAAAGGATCATTAGTGACAGAGAAGGGGATAAAAACAGAATTTGTGTTATCCTAGTATTTATATGCTGCTGATAAATTAGGCAAAACGCTTCACATGAGCTACCTAACTGACACTTAACCACATTAAACCTTCACTATTTTACTCCTAAAAACATTCCCTCTGCAATCTAGCGGGTCCATTTAGGATCGGGGCAGACAGAAGCCGGCTACAGCGGCTGGTTAAACCTTCACTACATTACTCCTAAAAACATTCCCTCTGCAATCTAGCGGGTCCATTTAGGATCGGGGCAGACAGAAGCCGGCTACAGCGGCTGGTCCCTGCAGTGCGAGGGCCCGCTGGGGTTGTAGCTGGGGTGGAAGTCCAGGTGCTCGTAGGCGGTGATGAAGGTGTCGGTGCCGGTGCAGTGGCTCTTCTCCAGCGACGTGTTCAGGCTTTCGTTCCTGCACATGCCGAACCTGCCCAGATGATCCGAAAACGTGTGCGGGAGGGTGTGGAAGGAGCTCTGCGGGGGCGACAAAGGGCACAGAGAAGGGAGGGTAGGGATGGTTTAAACACCAACATCGACAGCACCTGCGTGCAGCGGCACGGACGCGGCTCCGGGCAGTGTCCCCATGCACCCGGGGTGCTCGTACCGGCAGCTCGTGCACCGTGGGGGCCCTGCTGCCGTAGCTCTGGTTGGCGGTGCGGAATCGGGGGTGAGCTGGCTGCTGCCTGTGGGGGGAGAGCACAGCTAGCACAGCTGGCACAGCTGGCACAGCTACCACAGCTACCACAGCCAGCACAGCCAGCACAGCACAGCCGGCACAGCAGCACAGCTAGCACAGGCAGCACAGCGGGCACAGCCAGCACAGCACAGCCAGCACAGGCGGCACAGCCAGCAAAGCCGGCACAGCCGGCACAGCCATCACAGCACAGCCGGCACAGCACAGCCGGCACAGCCAGCACAGCGGGCACAGCACAGCATAGCCAGCACAGCACAGGCAGCACAGCCGGCACAGCGGGCACAGCACAGCATAGCCAGCACAGCACAGCCGGCACAGCGGGCACAGCGGGCACAGTGGGCAGCGCCCGGGCCGCCGCTCACCCGTAGCCGCGGTACAAGGTCAGCTCCTGGAAGCGCCGGGGCACGCCCGGGCTGGGCTGGGCCATGGCGGAGCCGCCGCGCCGGGCCGGGCCGGGCCGGGCCGGGCCGCGGGCACCGAGCGTTACCCGGCGACAGAACGCGGAGGGCGGGCAGCGACCGCAACCGCCCCGCCCCGCCCGCAGGAAGCGGAAAGCGCCGCTGACCTTCCCCCTCTCCTCCTGCTCCGTCTCCTCCTCCTGGTCCGTGTCCGTGCCCCCGGCGGGCTCGGCGGTGGCAGTGTCCCCATCCGCTCGGAGCATGGCGCTGCCGCGGCTCCTGCGGGCAGGTGAGCGAGCGGCGGGGCCCGGGCGGTGCTGCCCGCAGCGCCCCGGCCACCCCCGTGTGACCCGCGGTGTTTCTGTCCCGCAGCTGCCCCGCGGCTCTACAGCACCGTCCCGGCCCCGGTCCCGGCCCCGGCCCCGGCAGGCAGCCGGCCCCGCGGTGAGTGCTGCCGGGCACCCCTGGCACCCCCGGGCACGGGGCATCCTCTGTGCAGCCCCGGCTCGTCCCCACAAACGCAGTGAGTGTTCGTTTCCCCTCTCTCAGCTGACGATGACAAGCTGCTGACAGAGCCTCTCAAGCACCCCGACTTCTTCAGCGTGAAGGAGCTCTTCACCCTGAAAGATCTCTTTGATGCTCGGGTGCACCTGGGCCACAAAAAGGGGTGTCGGCACAGGTGAGTGATGCTTTTCGTGATCCAGTGCTTGTTGACATCGGGAATGCTTTCCCAGACCACATCTGCTGGACTGGTCTGGAGTAGGGATCCCCCCAGTGTGGGCACTGGGAGGGTGTGGCAGTGGCACAGACACTGGGTACGAGGGCACACCTGTGCTATCAGGAGCACGGGATGGTTCCTGTGGGTGCCACATGCAGGAACACTCAATGCCTCCACACCCCATCCCCGTGTCCCCCCCGCAGGTTCATGGAGCCCTACATCTTCGGCTGCCGCCTGGATCAGGACATCATCGACCTGGACCAGACCATGCAGCACCTGCAGCTGGCCCTCAACTTCACGGCGCACATCGCCTACCGCGGGGGCATCATCCTGTTCGTCAGCCGCCGGCGCCAGTTCTGCCGCCTGGTCGAGAGCACGGCGCGGGCGTGCGGGGAGTACGCGCACACCCGCTACTGGCAGGGCGGCCTCCTCACCAACGCCCACATCCAGTTCGGCGCCGGCGTCCGCCTGCCCGACCTCCTCGTCTTCCTCAACACCCTCAACAACGTCTTCGAGCCGCACGTGGCCATCCGCGACGCGGCCAAGATGAACATCCCCACGGTGGGCGTGGTGGACACGAACTGCAACCCGTGCTTGATCACCTACCCCGTGCCCGGCAACGACGACAGCCCCGCGGCCATGGAGCTGTACTGCAGGCTCTTCAGGATGGCCATCATCCGTGCCAAGGACAAGAGGCGGCACAGCGAGGCCGTGGAGGAGCTGCGGAGCAGAGCCGAGGGCAGGTAGAGCCCCCGGGGTGGGCTCGGTGCCTCTGCTCCGGCTGCACGGGGCTGGTTCGGTGCCCAGCACCCAGCTGTTGGCACAGCTGGCTGGCTGGGAAGGGACCCCCGGTGCTGTGCACGGTGATGCCGCAGAGGTCACGGCCACGGAGGGTCTCTAGCTGCAAAAAATTCAGAAATTCAGGGAAAATGGAGCCAGGCTCCTGTCCTTGAGTTTGTCACTGCTGCAGGGAGGTGCAGCTGTCCCGTGGCTTGTCTGAGCTCATGATCTCACCTGAAACCACTTGTATCTTGTGTCTGTTCTTAGCAAATAAAGGGATTTATCTCTGTGTTCCTTTTTGTGTTTTTCCCTAGGGGAATGGGATGGGGAGTCTGGCCAGCGCGGTCAAGGCAGTGGGAGGAAAGGGATGTCCCCATGCTGGGGATATGTCAGGGTGGCTGATGCAGGGTGAGAGGATCCCCAGTGGGGGTCAGAGGGTCCCCACTTTGTCCCAGGACACACTGGGAGCCCAACCTTTGCCACCACGGGCGGTGGGGGACTCCAGGAGAAAGGAATATCCATCCCTTAGTAGCCTCGTGTCTCCGTGGGAGGTCCTAGAGCAGTCGTGTGCAGGGCTCCGTGTCCCAGTCCCGTGTCCCATTCCATGTCCCCTCCCGTGTCCCAATCCCGTGTCCCAGTCCTGTGTCCCCTCCATTGTCCCCTCCCGGTCCCACCCTCGCCCTCTCCCGGCTCTGAGTCCTCCCGCCCGGCAGGGGGCGCTCGCGGGCGGAAGAGCGAGCGCGCCCGCGCGCCCGTTCCCGCACTATATAAGGGGGAGGTGAGGGGCCCGTCGCCCTTTCGGCGGGCGCGGGGCAGCGGGAGCGGAGCTCTGCGTTCCCTCAGAAGGAGCGGGACTGGAGCCGGGACCGGCCTCGGCCTCTCCCGGCGGGGCCAGCGGGAAGCCGGTGCTGGAGGAGGCGGCTCCACCGCTGCGCCTTCCCCCGCCATGCTGTGGCGCGGCTCCCTCGGGGCCGGTGCCGCTCCCCGCCGGCCCCGGCGCTGAGCGGCTGCGGCGGGAGGAGCCGAGCGAGGTGAGGCTGAGAGCGGCCCTGGCACCGCGGCCCCGCGGCCAGGCCCGGCCCCGAGCGGCCCCGCGGCTCCGGCAGCGGCCACGTGCGCTGCAAGGCCCGCAAATCGTGGAATATTTGGCGCTGGAAGCCAAATACCTATATCTATCTATATCCATGTATATATAAAATTAATGTATTAATATGATATTATTAATATGTCCTTATATTGTGAATCGAATATATTTTAAGATATATTTTAAGGATATATATGTATATTTATAATGTATCTAATATAAAGCACACATAGATGTGTATTTTTTAATATACTCCACTGAAAAAAAAACAAAGAAAATTTAAGGCTTTCAGGTTTTCAGGAAAATATTTTCAAATATTTTGATAGCTAACACAAATCTCCAGTAGATTCTCTTCTTCTAACTGTTGTAATTTTCTGGTTTTCAGTGAAATGGTGTGCTTCACCAAAAAAAGGCTGTTTGGCAATTATTAACAGCATTTTTCCTTTCTTTCTTCAGCCTCACAATGGACAGAAAAATGAAATGACCGGGATGGTGTGACTTCAGGAATGAAGGGTGATCCTTCAGGAAAAGGCTGCCCAAACAAGCTTCAGCCACCTTGGTAAGTGTAAGTGTAGTGTTCTTGTGGTGTTTGCACAAGGGTGATCCTTCAGGAAAAGGCTGCCCAAACAAGCTTCAGCCACTTGGTAAGTGTAAGTGCAGTGTTACCTGTGGTGTCTGCATGTGCAGCAAATACCTTGGCAGCACTGCTTTTAAACAGGTGATTAAATCTTCTTTTAAATGTAACATGGGGATGGTTTGGATTGGAAGGAACTCCTTCCACACTCTGTGGTGTCTGCATGTGCAGCAAATACCTTGGCAGCACTGCTTTTAAATAGATAATTAAATCTTGTTTTAAATGTAACAGAATCATGAGATGGTTTGGATTGGAAGGAGCTCCTTCCATGCTCCAGGCTGCTCAGAGCTGCATCCAGCCTTGCCTTGGACACTTGCAGGGATGGACATCCACCCACAATTACATTTTTTCAGTGTTTTGGGGTTGCTTGTTCCCCCCGGGCTGCCACTGGCGTTGCAGAGATGGCTGCTGTGGCATCTTTTGTGTCAAAGAGTGGCAAGAGAGACCCAGGCTATGTTCTACGCTCGTGTGTTCTGCACCCCGTGAGCACTCTGAGTGATTGATAGCCTGACATCACCCTGAATGAGACAGGGGAAATGCAGTTTGAGCTGCTTGGAATGTGAGATCTGCATGGTCCAGCATGGGAGCTTCTGTTCTCTGCAGCTGCACGTGCCTTCCTGGTCCTGTGGGTGCCACTTGTGGTACACAGGAATAGTGGAAGTGATCTGTGAAACCACGTGGCAAGGCTGGGAGTTCATCCCATCAGAAAATAAAATCATTCCTTTGCTTTTTATTCCTTTTAAATCCCTGCAGCGCCTGTGTGACCAGGCTTTGGGCTGTGTCTAAAGGCTCTCCATGTGTTTGTTCCTTTTCCAGAGGCAGCCCTGAGCCCAGGCACAGCAGAGGAGCCCAGCCAGGTGAGCTGCACTGCTGGGAGCTGCCAGCTTGTGTTGCAGGTGAGCTGCAGTGCCCCAGCTTGTGTTGCAGGTGAGCTGCAGAGCTGCCAGCCCTGCCCCAGTGTTGCAGGCGTGGCTGCAGTGCCACCTCTGTGTCAATCGGTGGCAGACAGCAACAGGCGATGTCTTCCCTGGTGCTCTGAGCCCTGTGAGCTCTCAGGATTGCTCGACAACCTGACACTTGCTGTTCTTGTCCTGCTCTCCTGCCTTCAGTGGGGAGTGGCAGAGGATGGACACTGTCCTTCAGTCCTTCCCTCCATCAGGGACACCTTGAGCTGTGCCCCAAGCCCTGTGCACAGGTGTCCCCATACCCAAATGGTGCTGTGTGTCACTGTCACTCTTGAGGGACACCAGAAACAGCGAGAGCAGCTCTGGGCACACAGAGATTGTGACCCTGGGCTTTGCAGTGGGTAACTGGCACTGCTAAATGGGAAACCTCATTAAATGGCCATTACAGGGCCAAAGGGGCCTCAGTGGTGCAGAGTGAGCCCTTTAATTGGCAAAAGCCAAAGAATGTTAATAAGGTTGTGGGGTTGTGGTTATGGATGAGGATGTGGCTCTTTTATTGAAATTTCTTGACTTCTTTTAACCTGCAGTCTGTGTTTGGGGTTTTTCATCAGGCTTTCCTCGCTCCAGGGGTCCTGTGTGGGCACTGAGTGCTAATGAGTGTCTCTTTAGAACTTCCCTGTGTGAGGCACAGCAGAACCTTGAACATTTTCCTGATGGCATTTTCTGGAACTGCCCTTCCCCAAGCAGCACTCCTGGGCCATGGATATTGCTTTACTGAAGGAAAAACTGGCTCTCAGCTGTGGAAAATGTGAATGTTTTACATGAAGTGCTTTAGAGAGAAATTAAAAACTCTCTGCACATAGCTCAGCCCTTCATCATGAAGGACTGGTTTATGTCATGGCTTTAAAGGCTGGAATAAGCCCAGATTTATTTTTTTTCCATGCACTATTAATAGCTTGGCTCTGCACCAGGGTTGGCAAATTCACCTTGGATTTTTAAGGAGTGATGGAATAACCCAGAACAGGCTGCAGCTATGCTCTTAAATTATCCCTTTCCTAAATTCCCCCAGCCAGATCTTTTTCCAAAACCTTTCTGATGTCATGCCAAAGAGCTTCTCCTAAATTTGTGCCATGTCCTTCTGGACTGAAGGAAATCCCTGTCTAAAAGTTTCCTTGTGAGCCCTGATACCAGAGCCTTAAAATGTGATTTTATTTTATATTTCATCTTTATTTCCTCTGGGATGTGAAAAATCTTGGGACAATCCCAAGACAATGAGGGCAGCAGAGTGTGGAATGCAAGGGTTAATTAGCTCATTAGTATTCACCTTATTGCTCCCTTTTCTTGCCTGTTTTTCAACTTTTCTGACATCCTGGGCCTTATTTTTTTATTTGCAGATTATGCCTTGAGCTGCAGAATGTCTGACAAACTGAGAACTGGTTGGCAGCATCCACGTCTGATGGCTTGGAGATTCCTAAAACTTGATCAGCTGTGTTTTCTCTACATGGTTAAGAAGGATTTAAATAAAAAAAACAACTAAATAAAGATGCCACCTACAAGACTGAAAGGATTATGCTGTGTGTTTGTAATGCTATTTTTTAACCATTCTAGGATGTAAGACTTCGTGGATGTGAGAATTTAGGATTGTTTTAAAGCAATTTAAGGTTTTACCTCCATCCCCTTGGGCACAAAGGGGATCCAGTGAGATCAGTCTTGGAGTGTCCTGGCTTTTTTTTCCATCTCCTGTGGGGAATCTGGAGGAATTTGAGTGTAAAACAGCTTTGCCTTGACTCATTTCTCTCCTGAACCCCAGAGTGGTTTGTAAACTGCACTCTGCTTTTTATGATGAGCAGAATTCCTGGGAGTGTCCAGGGCCACGGGGGCGTGCATTAATGGAGTAATTGTTGTCACAAGTGACTTAATTTCAATTAAACTGTCAGGGCCTGGTCTCAGCTATATAAACATTTAGATGTTTATGTTCTGATGTTGGGGAAACTGTTTTCCTCCACTTCTCCAGGTGCTTTAATGCTGCTTTGAGGGAATGGAACAGCAGGGATTTGGTGGGAGTAAACAATGGAGGGAAGGATGAAAAATGGTTTTTCTGCCACCCTGAGGAGGGGATTTTGGCAGGGGCTTGGATTCCTTTGCTGATGGATTTGTCAGGGGAGCTGTTGCCATGGGGATGCAGGGCCAGGGATGAGGAGCCTGGAGCCTCCTTTCTGAATTCCAGCCCTGCCTTTCCCTCCCTGCAGCTGAACCTGCACCTGCAGGCAGGACCTTGGCAGTGCCCATACCCAGTGCAGGCTGAGGAACCCTCCAAACACAGAATCCCTGGGAGTGCTCACCTTTTCCATGGATAAATCACATTCCACAGGCCACTCCTCAGCAGGGAGTGAGCTCTGCTGGACACTGAGCACTCCTGACCCCAAAACGTGCCCAGTGAGAGGTGATGAGGATCCTAAAGAACCAACAGAAGGAAAGTCCTGATCTTTCTCCCCAAAGGGCTCCTAACTTTGCAGCCCTGGTGCTGCAGTGTCAGGTGTATTTTTATTTTCTGATTGCACATCGGCTGCACGCTCATTTCCCTAAGGAATTGTTGGCAGGAGAAGCAGCACGTGCTCCAGCAGCAGGAATATGGCTGTGCTGGGAACAGAGCAACCTTGGGGGAGCTCACCCAGCTCTTCCTCCCTGCCCAGAGCTGCAAGATTGCTACAATTGAGCATTTCAAGGAGACAGCCCGAGTTGGAGCCCTGGGAGCACAGACACAGCCAAAAATAAATGTCTGGAGACCCGCTAAAAGCTTTGCCTGGAAATTCATTTTAATAATGAGAGAAGCACTGGATTATTCTGGTATTAACCTTCAACCTCTGCAGGGCAAGCCCAGCTTAGTTTTTGGAGAATTAAACGGAGGGGTTGGCTTATCCCTGCTCTGAGTGTGGTGGGCAGTGACACCCGAGCACAGGAAGGGGTCAGTTCGTGTTTAGCCCTTTGCCTTTAAGCCATCCTTGGCCTCGGCCGCTTCCAGAGCGGACACGTGAGGGAATGGCTTGTGCTGCCAATTCCAGACCGGGGGCAGGAGCAGCTGGGGGGAGCCTCTCGCAATTCACGGCATCACCGTCAGGGTCAGGCACTTAAAAACGGAACCAAGGAACCGCCACGATTCTCCACGGTGCAACAGACAGCTGAGCTGCTTCCTGTGTGACAGCTGATGGCAGATGACTCAGACACTTAAGGAGAGGCTTTTGAAAGGGGAAATCTACCTTTTCCTCCTTTTTAGATCACAAGCAAGCTGGTACTTAACAGGCTGCTGTTTGGCTATTGATGGACGGGTGTGATTCACGTAAAAGCTGTTTATTTACATCAGAGCCGTTCCTCAAAAGGAGATGTGACAAGTACAGCATGAATGATTCATTCCCATCGCTTTGCTCTGCTTTCCTGCTCATCAAGGAACAGTTTGATGCATCCAGCTGGGCTCTGCTTCCTCATCCCTTTCCGTGTCTTCTTCCTCCCCCAAGCCTGCTCAGCCCAGCTCCGTGTCCCAGCTCCTGCCGAGCCATCCCTGATGCTGCTGGGTGGTGCAAGACATGATGCTTGGTTTTCCATGAAGGAGAAGGGGCTGCAGCTCTGCTGAACTCCCTGTGCAGGGTGTGTTTTTCCTGGGGGGGAGAGGATGGACAAACAGGCCTTCAGCCCTTGGACCTCACTCCAAGCTCACAGATTGGAAATTCCAGGGCCGCGCTTCCCCCGTTAGGAATATTTGGTGTTGGAAATCTTCTTCCAGAGCAAGGTCTTGAGGTTGTTGAGCACGAGGGAGTGGTGCACTTCCATCTGGCTGGCCAGGCCACTGAGGGTCATGCAAGTTCGCAGCTGTTTCTGCAGCTCTTCCTTCAGCTCCAGGGGAGCTCCATAGAGCAGATAGTCCTGCAGCAGCCCGCACACCTTGGCCAGGTTGGGCTGCACCACGTCACTCTTGCACTGCTTCAGGAGCTTGTCACACGTGGCCGTGCAGTCCCGCCCGTAGGTGCAGTCCCCGTTCTGCTCACAGTGGCGGCCCTTGAGGAAGCCTCTGATTGTCATCTCCGTCGCCACCTTGCGCAGGTTGACCATTTTGAAGTCGTACTTGTCGTTGTAGCCCACGTTCCTGAGGCTGCTCTCGCAGATGTAGAAGCTCCCGTAGGTGCCGTGGAAGATTTCCTCCACGAACTCCAGGAGGCCGATGGCGATCTTGGCGCGCCGCGGCCAGGCTGGCGCGAACCACTGGTGGATGAGCTGGTGGGCGAGGGAAGGCAGCAGGGACTGCAGGAAAGGGGGGACATCCACCCCGTACAGGGAGGTGTGGGGGATCTTCTCGGTGACATAAAGGTCCCCGCAGTGCCCCAGCAGCTTGGCCGTGTGCTCCTTCTCGTGCAAGGAGAACATGAGGAGGAACTCGTTGAGCTGAAGCAGCGCCCAGATGGATTTGGCCTCTGCCAGGGACACCTTCCCGTCATGGTTCACGTCTGCCATGGTGATGATCCGGCTCACCAAGGCAGGAAGAGATGGCTGATCCCCCAGCTTGGACTGCAAACAGCACAAGAAGTGGCATCAGGCACTCACAGCTCTCCGTGTTTGGGTGTCACATCACAAAACCAAACTGGGGGAGCAAAGAACTGATCTGGGGAGAGGACGAAATGGTGACACTCCAGAAAATCCAGTGCCACACCATGTGTGGGCAGATCCAGCTCCAGCAGAATTTTGCCAGCCTCAGGGCTGCTCTAAAGCATCCTGCCAGAGCTGCTACCCCACCACTGCTGCAGGAGCCCCAACAGGGGTAACTACCAGGGCCACCAAATCAGCTCTGCCCAGCAGAGATGCCACCCACAGCTGTGGCACAGGTATGCTGCTACTCAAATCTCACAAGAACTCATTTCCTCCACTAATTAGTGCATGGCACTGGCACCCAGCAGTGGGTGGGGGGCATGGGCAGGAGGACCTCTCGTTCAAAGGGAAGGAAAACCACAGCCGGTGTTCCTGACTCACAGGAGCCATCCCAGGGCTGTGGGATCCCACAGGGCCCTGCACTGACCTTCAGGAAGTTGAGGAGCATTTCCTTGAACTCGTCCATGGAGGTTCCCCGGGTGGGTTTGTCGAAGAGCACCACGTCCCTCCTGGGCACAGCGTCCGGGCGGCTGTCGGCCCTCAGGGCTTCCCCGATGCCACATTTGATGATCACCTCCCTGTCCCTCCAGAGCCCTCTGTAAACCTGGAGCACAGGGACAGCAGTGGAGGGAGCTGGGTTCTGGTCAGAGGGGGAGTTGTGCAGGGTTTGGTGCTGGTGGCCAGCCCTGGCATGGGTGGGGGGCACAGACCTACCTGCTGGCTGGGGGAGGACGAGAGGCAGTGCTGGAAGAGGAGGCCGCGCTCCTCACACAGGTCCTTGCACGTGGAGCCAGAAATGATCCCTTTCTTGTACTGGTCACACTGGGGAGGGCAAGCACAGAGAGGAGCTCAGAGGGACAGATTTTTACTGGCCCTTAGGGATGGCTCAGTGCCTTTGGTGTGGTGGGGCTGGGCTGGCAGGGACCCCTGTGCTGCTGGAGGGATCTCAGGGATTTGTTCCTGGGTGCTGCTGCTGCAAATCCAGGGGTTTGAGAGAAATTCCTGGCTGGAGGAGAGGGCAGTGTGGAGTTCGGTGAGGATGCACAGCTCAGGCTGCTCAGGAGAGCAGCAGTCCCTGCTGTGGAGCAGGCTAGCCCCAGTCTAGGGGTGGCAGGAACAGGGACAGACAGTGACTCTGATCCATGGCCAGACTGGAGCTGGAGACATCCCTGGGCAGGAGAGGCTGCAGCTCTGCAGCTCCTCACAAGGGCACAGCAGCCTCAGGGCTGGAAGCTGGAGCTGCAGACATTCACTGCATCTTTTCCCTTTTTTTTTTCCTGCTGTGGATGGGAATTAACCCTTGGACCTGCTCACAGGGGCCACGGCCAGACACGGTGCCTGGAAGCCCCAGCTCCGAGCAGGAATTAGCGCCCAAGACCCCGCGGTCGGAGTCAGGCAGAAAATCAAATTAAACGATCGTCGCTGTTGTTATGGCAATTCCTGCCTCCCTTCTCTGCTGAGGGATTGATCAACGAGGCTTGTTCTGACACAGCCCAGCTCCCCCTCCTCGCCTGGGCTGGGCTGAGACCTGCTCCCACACCAGGGGCACACACAGCACTCCTGGGGACATCCCATGGGGAACACCACGCTGCAAACCCCAAACAGAGCCAGGCAGCACACCGAGCTCTGCTGCTTTAGGGCTCCTCAGCAGTCACAGACAGGTGCCATGGACTGAGTGCTCCCCTTTTTCCTCCTGCTCTGCAGAGCCCAGAGGGGACTGGTGAGATGCTGTCTCTGTCCTGCTGCCTGCCCTGACATTCCAGCTTCACCTGCACAAACTTGGATCTGCCCACATCTGCCCTGGCTGCTTCCTTTTGACATCTCATGGAATTGGTTCACCCTGGCAGGGTAAGGTCACCCCTCCTGCTCTGAGTGCCATGTCGGGGACAGCACCGGGGCAGCAGCTGCCAGGAGGGCTCCTCCTCCCAGCTC